ACCTCCAGCACGAGCAGCACCACCAGCTCCGGCAGCTCCAGCGCCACTAGCATGAGCACCCCCGGGACCAGCAGTGCCAGCACCACCAGCACCTCCAGGACCAGCAGCTCCAGGGCCTCCAGCTCCAACAGCACCACACCGAAGGCTACAGCGCCGAGCGTACCATTCGCGCAACTGCTGTGGTGAGAGAGGCTCCCGTAGTGTAGACGCATGACCCCTAGGCTCACCACCCCCAGACTTAGCACCCCCAGGCTCCGCACGCTCATGCTCAGCACCCCCAGGCTCCGCACGCTCAGACGCAACACCCCCCGGCTCCGCACTCGCAGGCTCAGCACATCCAGGCTCCTCACGCTCAGGCTCCGCAACCGCAGGCTCAGCACCCCCAGGCTCCTCGCGCACAGGTTTTGCACCTCTAGGCTCCTCACACTCAGGCTCAACACCCGTAGGCTCAGCACCCCCAGTAGCACCAGAGTCACCAGTGACCTTGACAGGCTCAACCAAGGGGAGTGGGTCTACCTGAGACACACCTGAACGAGCAGGACCCTGAGGGGGGAGGGGGTCTACCGGAGGGAGACTTGGAGCAAGGAAGAACGGCGGGGGAGGGGGAGGGGCAGTGCGGTAGGGGAAGAGACGGTAAAACGGAACCGGCTCGTCAAACGTGTCGTCTTGAGAGGACAGAACACGGCGTGAGGTGGGGTGGTGAAACTGCTAGCCAGGCGCGTCAGGGGGAAAACCAAGGAAGACACAGGGAATAGCGCACGGAGAGCTTGTCCGCAGAGGTATCGCGAACAAAGGCACGAGATCCCCAGACCAGGAACACTGACGCATCGCCAACCTCTCCCGTCCAACGCAGTGTCGGCAAGGTCCCCGGCAAGGAGACATGGGGCCAGAGGTTGAGTTGATGCGCAGCGTGCCGGACCGCAAATGGCCACAGAAAATGGGGGGCAGCTGATGGATCATGGAGGTACGAGCGACCTCCATGACTAGGCCAATGCGGCGTTCAGCAATCCTATTCTGCTGCGGAGAGTCCGGAAGCGTGAACGTCTGGCGAATGCCCTCCCCATGACAAAAGTCCCTCAAGAGGTTGGAGGAAAACTCACCACCTCTGTTAGAGTGCAGACGCAGGACAGGAAGGTCCGTGTCGAACCGCTCGCGAAGCTGGAGACGGACAGCGCGGATTCAAGGGATCAAGACATCAAGGACCTCACCCTTGCTGCGGAAGGGAAAGACCGTGGTGTAACGCGTGTAGTCCTCAACAACCAGCAAAAAGTATCGCTCGCGGCCCTATCCCTGGACGCGGGCTGGGCCCCAAACGTCCAAGTGGAGAGTCTGCAGGGGACCAGTCGTCGGGGGAAACAAGGAGTGAGGAGCGGCGCGCTGCCGCCCCTCGACACAGGGAAGGCAAGGAGGGGCAGGCGAGGGTGGGAGGGGAGGCAGAGACCTGGGAAGACCAGAGACGAGAAGGCGAGAGTGCATGTCACGGAGGCGTGGCAGAGAGGGGTGACCAAGGCGGTGGTGCCAAAGGAGAGTCTGGTGCGACAGTGCGCGACACGAGCAGGAGGCTGCTAGCTGACCTGACGCGGACGCAGACGCAGCTACTTGAGGAGGTGCAGTAGTCACTGTGTACAGGCTCGACCCATGAGGATGGGTGAACGTGGCCAGGTGACGGCCCGTCCGTGCACACGTGCAGATCGCGACACAATGTCCCCCATGAGTAAAGGTATTAACCCATTCATCCTGAAGGACGGCGTTGCTCACCAAGTTCGTAGAGAACGAGGGGAGGTGAAGACCTGACAGTGAGCCTGACGGAACCGTCGGACAAGGGAGAACAGTGGAGGAACGTGCAAGAACCGGTCCCCCAGAGGGATCAACTAGAGAGACTGCAACCGGTGCTGCTAGCGGTGTGACCGTGGTGCTGTCGCGAAAGAAGCAACGGGAAGCACATGAGTCAAGCGTGAAGGTGTGCAAGGCCTCAGCTGGTGCAGTACCAGAGAGAGCAGACTCACCAGCACCTAGAGCAGACTCACCAGCACCTAGAGCAGACTCATCAGCACCTAGAGCAGACTCACCAGCACCTAATGCAGCAGCCGCTATACCAAGGTCGGGTGACACACATAGGTAACAGTCACCCTGAGTACTAATAGACAAAGCATATATGGCAGTGAGGATAGTGTCATAGTCTAGAGCAAAGATATCCACCTTGCTCCTAAGCAGCTCTAGCCAGCGGGGGAGCTCAGCCTCGTCGCCAAACATTGCACGCCAGGCGTCGCTCAGACAAGCGAAGCAGCGAGCCTGTGTATGACCAAGTGTCTTGCAAGTCTGACCAGCCCGATTACCTGTGCGAATGACGTACGGACAGCGAACAGTACTCCAAGTCCCCCCACTCTGAGCGTACCACTCACGAAGCTGCTGGGGCGTAAGGGTCTCGCGCGGATGCCGCTGCAGCTGCATCTGGCCACCGCCAGAAACTCCGCACTGAACAGCTCCACTACGACTGCTACTACGGCCGCCGCCACCACACCTACTGGCGTACCACTCACAAAGTTGCTGGGGCGTAGGGGTCTCGTGCGGACGCAGCAGCAGCTGTATCTGGACACCGTAAGAAACTTCGCACCGAGCAGCTCCACCGCGACTGCCACAACAGGCGCCGCCACCACTCCAGGTGATGTCACCACCGCCGTCACCGCTCCGACCGCTACCACGAAGAGAAGTCATAGCGGGCCAAGTAAGGAGGCGTGCGACCAGTAGGGCAGTACGGAGGGAAGGCAGCAGCACGAGCAGCAGTAGCAGCAGTAATAGCAGCAGAGCGGCTCGGTGAGGCTAGGCTGCAGCACCTCTAGCACTCCGAGCAGTACCTCCACCAGCAGCAGCAGCAGCAGCAGCAGCAGCAGCAGGGTGGATCGGGTTGGGCTGGGCAGCTCGGGCTGGGCGGCGCGGGCAGCAGGGCGCGCGCTGTGCAGGGCAGCAGGGTGCGACGTGCGGGCTGCAGCAGGGCGCGACGCGCGGGCAGCACGGCGCGGCGCGCGGGCTGCAGGAGGGCGCGACATGCGGGCTGCAGCAGGGCGCGACACGCGGGCTGCAGCAGGGCGCAACGCGCGGGGCAGCAGGGCGCGACGCGCGGGCTGCAGCAGGGCGCGATGGCAGGCTGCAGCAGGGCGTGACAGCGGGCTGCAGTAGGGCGCGGCGCACGGGGCAGTAGGGCACGACGCGCGGGCTGCAGCAGGGCGCGACGTGCGGGGCAGCAGGGCGCGACGCGCTGGCTGCAGCAGGTCGCAACGCGCGGGGCAGACATAGGGCGCGACGCGCAAGGCAGCAAGGCACGACGTGCGGGCTGCAGCAGGGCGCGACACGCAGGGCAGCAGGGCGCAAGCAGGGCAGCAGGGCGCAAGCAGGGCAGCGCGACGCGGGGCAGGGCAGGGCAGGGCGTGCGCGGGGCAGCGCGACGCAAGGCAGGGCAGGGCGTGCGCGGGGCAGCGTGACGCAAGGCAGGGCAGGGCAAGGCGCGCGCTATAGGCGCAGCGCAGGGCAGGGCATGGAGTAACGCGGTAACCGTAGTCGGTCACTATGTAATGGTGGGCCCGAAAAAAAAAACGGTCCTACGGACCTACTGCTCTGAAACCATGTCAGAAACTAACGAGCAGGAATGATCGCATTGACATCAAACTGAGTGGTACAAGTATAACCCTAATTGGGTTGTACCCCATATAGGCTACCCCACTACAGCCTACACAACACAAGTAGCATTATAGTTTGACAACATATGCATACATACATGCACGCACCCATACACACATACATACACGCACACCCACGCACCCACAAATAACCATGCGCGCGCATGCAAATGCTTACACACATGTGCGGTCGCACGCACACACATACACACAGACACACGACCACGCACGCATGTACATAGATACGCACGAATACACACACACACGCACGCGCGCACATACACACACATACACACACACACACACACACACACACATATACATATCCGTATATACACATATATACACACACACGCAGACATGCACACTAACATACACACATACACACGCGCGCACATACACACATACACACACACATATACATGCGTGCACACACACACACACGCACGCACGCACACACACACGCATGCACATGCGTACGCGCATGCACGCACGCACGCACACATACATACACGCACACACACGCACGCACACACACACGCATACGCACACACACACGCATACGCACACGCGTACGCACACACACATACACATACACTCATACACACGCACACACATACATACACACACACGCGCACACACACACACACACATACACACACACACACACACACACACACACACACACACACACACACACACACACACACACACACACACACACACACGCACACAGACACACACACACAAATACAATAGACAGACACACATGCACAAGCTTGCGCAACAAGCACAATCTTCTCACTCTATGCCATGCTCAGCAAAACGTGTTGAATGGTCAGTAGATGTTCTTTACTGATTACCACTTGTCGAGCTTAGCTCGCGCATCACCGTGCACACCATTTTGATAGTTTGTTCTTTATATAGATATCCCGACTATAGGAGCCCTAAAGTTGGTGCCAGAAATGTAGCAAACCCCATATACTTGCAGATCTCCTGCTGCTATCAAGTCTGTATTTCTCTTTATGTTATGTTAGCTCTAGCTTTTGCCTTTATACGGTAGTTAGCTCCAAGTTAGCTTGTTCCGTTTCATGCGTAGTACATATAGGAACTGATTGTAGAAGGTTGCTCAAGCGCATGTGTGTGTCCTCAATCTCAAGAGTCCCCGCCTAGGACAACCAGAAACCGCGACTCCAGATCTGCTCCAACGAGTTAGTGCGACTTGCGATTGACACCTTATTTTCAGCAGTTCTTCAGCAGGCTACCCTTCGCGGCTCGTGTGGACGAGCTACTTTGGCGTGCGTCGCTCTCGCGCGGCTAGTCGCCATGAGCCGATGGCGAGCGTATCTCGTCGTCCTTCTTTCGCTACTCGTTCTCGCAGTAGTTTCGCAGCCCTTCGCGAGGCGTCCGCTCATCGCGAATGCCGAAGAATTCGACGACGAGCGGTACGCCTACGACGAGGACGACGACGCAGGCGACGACGACGACATCCCGGCCGGCGACGACGGCGACGTCGTCGCACTGACGGCGGCGACGTTTTCGCAGGCCGTCAGCGATCACAAGCACGTGATGGTGGAGTTCTACGCGCCGTGGTGCGGTCACTGCAGGGCTCTCGCGCCCGAGTATCGCGAAGCAGCGGCGACGCTCAAGGAGCTCGGCGTGCTCTTCGCCAAGGTGGACGCGACGAAAGAAACGGAGCTCGCCGACAAGTACAACGTGGATGGTTACCCGACCATCCTTTTCGCCACGGATGGCGAATTTCAGCCGTTCGGCGCGGGGCGAACCAGGTAGACTCTTTAAAACGAATCGATCTCGCACCACCCGTGTGCTGCGCGCGTGTGTGATGAGGAAAGGTCAATCTATGAAGCTCTTCTGGGTGCATCGATCGCTACCCCCCTCACACAATCAAATCCATATCATATCCCCGAGTCTGCCTTTCAACTCACACGCTTCCTGCAAAATCTCACCTTCCCACTGCTGCTGCTGCTGCTGCTGCTGCTGCTGCTGCTGCTGCTGCTGCTGCTGCTGCTGCTGCTGCTGCTGCTGCTGCTGCTGCTGCTGCTGCTGCTGCAGCGCAGAGGTAGTGAGGTGGGTGAAGCGTCCTGCGCACGTCGTGTAACTCTTGCCTTAACTCTCCCTTCGTTCCGCTCTCTCCCCTCCTTCCCGCCATTCTTCTCGCCCCCCTCCATCCCCTCCTTCCCCTCGCTCCCCCCGTTGCTGCGTGCTGCTGCAGCGCGGAGATGGCGCGGTGGGTGAAGCGCAAGCTGGGCATGGGCGTGACACCGCTGGGGCCACCCGACATTCCCAAGGCTGCCGCTCTCATCGAGAGCGCCGCCGCTGCTGCCGTCGCCTTTGTGCCCTCGCTTGACGTGAGTGCTGTGTGGTGCATGGACGGAGGGGAGGAGGAGTGGAGGAGAGGAGGAGAGTTGAAGAGGGGGAGGGGGGGAGGGGGAGAAAGGGGGGGACGGAGAAAGGGAGAGGAAGAGCGGCGGAGAGGCGAGATGATGCAGAGAGACATGGTCGGGGAATTTGGGAGTGTATTGTTGTCAGCGTTATTAAGTGCGATGCCAGATTCCCTCCCTCCCTCCCTCCCTCCCCTCCCTCCCTCCCTCCCTCCCTCCCTCCCTCCCTCCCTCCCCCCCTTCCTCCCTCCCTCCATCCCTCCCTCCCTCCCTCCTCCCCTCCCTCCGTCCCTCCTCCCCTCCCTACCTCCCTCCTTTCCTCCCTCCTTCCATCCCTCCTTCTGTCCCTCCTTCCATCCCTCCCTTCTTCTCTCCCTCTTCCAACCTTCCTGATCCCTTCCCCATCCTCCTTCCTCCATCCCTCTCGCATACCTCATCTCATCCCCCTCATCCCCTCCCCTCCCCTCCCCTTCCCCTCCCTTTCCCCCCCTCACCTAACCTCATTCCCCTCCCCTCCCCGCATCCCTCTCCTCTCCCCATCCCCCTCCCCTCCCATCATCCCCTCCCCTCCCTTCCTCCCCCTCCTCTCCCCTCCCCTCCCCTCCCATCCCCTCCCCTCCCCGCCTCCTCCTCCCCCCCCTCCCCCACTAGGGCCCGGAGGCAGCAGCGTTTGGAGAGGAAGCGAGGGACACGGACGGGGTTGAATTTTTCATCCTCCTCCTCCACCCTTTCCTCTCCTCCCCTCCCCTCATCCCCTCCCCTCCTACCGCCCTTCCCACACATCAGTCGCCGGAGGCAGCAGCGTTCGGCGAGGCAGCGAGGGACACGGACGGGGTGGACTTTTTCGTCACCACGCATGCTGACGTGGCGGCCGCCTTCGGCCTGCCAGCTGGCGAGCCGCCCTCCCTGGCTGTGGTGAAGAAGGAGGAGGAGCGGCTGGTGGTGTTTGGTGAGTGCACTGCGCACCTCTGTGTGTACGCACAGGTGCTTGGTGTTGTGATGCTTGAGCTGAGGGGGATGGCTATGGGTCTGTCAGTGGTGAAGGACACGCGTGACAACTTGCCCACACCCCTGTGGTGAAGGACACGCGTGACAACTTCCCCACACCCCTGTGGTGAAAAAGGAGGAGGATCTGCTGGTGGTGTTGTGAGGTTTGAGCTGAGGGGCTGGATTTGGGGCGTGGGTTGGTGGGGTGGGGAATTGTGGGTCTGTCAGTGGTGAAGGAGGAGGCCCGATTTTTGACATCCTCCCCCTACATACCTCATACACACACACACGCATATGCACGTGCACATGCGCACGCACTCGCACGCACATGCGCACGCACTCGCACGCACATGCGCACGCACTCGCACGCACACGCATGCACACGCACGTCACACACACACACACACACGCCCACACATACACCCACACGCACATACATGCACGCACATACACTCCTCCATCAGATGATGAGTACCGCAAGGGGGTCCCAGACTCTCTTCGCACCTCTCCCCACCTCTCGCCACTTCTTCCCACTTTTCCCCCCTCTCTCCCCACCTCTCCCCATCTCTCCCGTCTTCCCTTTCCTCCCTTCCCTACCCCTCTCCCCTTCCCCCCTCCCCCAGGTGGCGACTACAGCAAGGACGCCATCAGCGCGTTTCCTGGCTTTCGAGTCAATCCGAGTGTCATTTCCACCCCTCCCCCCACTCTCCCATCTCTCCCCGCCACACGCCCCCTCCCTCCCACCACCCCCATGCACAGGCGGCGAGTACAGCAAGGACGCCATCAGTGCGTTCCTGGCGGCCAACCGGCTGCCGCTGCTGCTGACGTACACCGAGGAGACCTCCGCTGCCATCTTCTCGTCCCCCATCGGCAAGCAGGTGAAAAGGGTGCATGGGTGGGGCGAGGTGGGTGCATGGCACGAGATGGGGTTAGTTCATGGCACGAGATGGGGTGAGTGGCACGAGATGAGGTGAGTGCATGGCACGAGATGGGGTGAGTGGCACGAGTTGGGGTGAGTGCATGGCACGAGATGGGGTGAGTTCATGGAGTGAGGTGGGGTGGGGTGCACACATGGGGGATGAGATGGTTGCATGAGTAATGCAGGGACGATGTGAGGCAGGGCATGAGACGAGGTGGGTGCATGGCACGAGGTGGGGGCATGGCACGAGGTGGGTGCATGGCACGAGGTGGGTGCATGGCACGAGGTGGGTGCATGGCACGAGGTGGGTGCATGGCACGAGGTGGGTGCATGGCACGAGGTGGGTGCATGGCACGAGGTAGGTGCATGGCACGAGGTGGGTGCATGGCACGAGGTGGGTACATGGCACGAGGTGGGTGCATGGCACGAGGTGGGGGCATGGCACGAGGTGGGTGCATGGCACGAGGTGGGTGCATGGCACGAGGTGGGTGCATGGCACGAGGTGGGTGCATGGCACGAGGTGGGTGCATGGCACGAGGTGGGTGCATGGCACGAGGTGGGTGCATGGCACGAGGTGGGTGCATGGCACGAGGTGGGTGCATGGCACGAGGTGGGTGCATGGCACGAGGTGGGTGCATGGCACGAGGTGGGTGCATGGCACGAGGTGGGTGCATGGCACGAGGTGGGTGCATGGCACGAGGTGGGTGCATGGCACGAGGTGGGTGCATGGCACGAGGTGGGTGCATGGCACGAGGTGGGTGCATGGCACGAGGTGGGTGCATGGCACGAGGTGGGTGCATGGCACGAGGTGGGTGCATGGCACGAGGTGGGTGCATGGCACGAGGTGGGTGCATGGCACGAGGTGGGTGCATGGCACGAGGTGGGTGCATGGCACGAGGTGGGTGCATGGCACGAGGTGGGTGCATGGCACGAGGTGGGTGCATGGCACGAGGTGGGTGCATGGCACGAGGTGGGTGCCGGCACGAGGTGGGTGCACGGCACGAGGTGGGTGCATGGCACGAGGTGGGTGCATGGCACGAGGTGGGTGCATGGCACGAGGTGGGTGCATGGCACGAGGTGGGTGCATGGCACGAGGTGGGTGCATGGCACGAGGTGGGTGCATGGCACGAGGTGGGTGCATGGCACGAGGTGGGTGCATGGCACGAGGTGGGTGCATGGCACGAGGTGGGGGCATGGCACGAGGTGGGTGCATGGCACGAGGTGGGTGCATGGCACGAGGTGGGTGCATGGCACGAGGTGGGTGCATGGCACGAGGTGGGTGCATGGCACGAGGTGGGTGCATGGCACGAGGTGGGTGCATGGCACGAGGTGGGTGCATGGCACGAGGTGGGTGCATGGCACGAGGTGGGTGCATGGCACGAGGTGGGTGCATGGCACGAGGTGGGTACATGGCACGAGGTGGGGGCATGGCACGAGGTGGGTGCATGGCACGAGGTGGGTGCATGGCACGAGGTGGGTGCATGGCACGAGGTGGGTGCATGGCACGAGGTGGGTGCATGGCACGAGGTGGGTGCATGGCACGAGGTGGGTGCACGGCACGAGGTGGGTGCACGGCACGAGGTGGGTGCATGGCACGAGGTGGGTGCATGGCACGAGGTGGGTGCATGGCACGAGGTGGGTGCATGGCACGAGGTGGGGGCATGGCACGAGGTGGGTGCATGGCACGAGGTGGGTGCATGGCACGAGGTGGGTGCATGGCACGAGGTGGGTGCATGGCACGAGGTGGGTGCATGGCACGAGGTGGGTGCATGGCACGAGGTGGGTGCATGGCACGAGGTGGGTGCATGGCACGAGGTGGGTGCATGGCACGAGGTGGGTGCATGGCACGAGGTGGGTGCATGGCACGAGGTGGGTGCATGGCACGAGGTGGGTGCATGGCACGAGGTGGGTGCATGGCACGAGGTGGGTGCATGGCACGAGGTGGGTGCATGGCACGAGGTGGGTGCATGGCACGAGGTGGGTGCATGGCACGAGGTGGGTGCATGGCACGAGGTGGGTGCATGGCACGAGGTGGGTGCATGGCACGAGGTGGGTGCATGGCACGAGGTGGGTGCATGGCACGAGGTGGGTGCATGGCACGAGGTGGGTGCATGGCACGAGGTGGGTGCATGGCACGAGGTGGGGGCATGGCACGAGGTGGGTGCATGGCACGAGGTGGGTGCATGGCACGAGGTGGGTGCATGGCACGAGGTGGGTGCATGGCACGAGGTGGGTGCATGGCACGAGGTGGGTGCATGGCACGAGGTGGGTGCATGGCACGAGGTGGGTGCATGGCACGAGGTGGGTGCATGCACGAGGTGGGTGCACGGCACGAGGTGGGTGCATGGCACGAGGTGGGTGCATGGCACGAGGTGGGTGCATGGCACGAGGTGGGTGCATGGCACGAGGTGGGTGCATGGCACGAGGTGGGGTGCATGGCACGAGGTGGGTGCATGGCACGAGGTGGGTGCATGGCACGAGGTGGGTGCATGGCACGAGGTGGGTGCATGGCACGAGGTGGGTGCATGGCACGAGGTGGGTGCATGGCACGAGGTGGGTGCATGGCACGAGGTGGGTGCATGGCACGAGGTGGGTGCATGGCACGAGGTGGGTGCATGGCACGAGGTGGGTGCATGGCACGAGGTGGGTGCATGGCACGAGGTGGGTGCATGGCAACGAGGTGGGTGCATGGCACGAGGTGGGTGCATGGCACGAGTGGGTGCATGGCACGAGGTGGGTGCATGGCACGAGGTGGGTGCATGGCACGAGGTGGGTGCATGGCACGAGGTGGGTGCATGGCACGAGGTGGGTGCATGGCACGAGGTGGGTGCATGGCACGAGGTGGGTGCATGGCACGAGGTGGGTGCATGGCACGAGGTGGGTGCATGGCACGAGGTGGGTGCACGGCACGAGGTGGGTGCATGGCACGAGGTGGGTGCATGGCACGAGGTGGGTGCATGGCACGAGGTGGGTGCATGGCACGAGGTGGGTGCATGGCACGAGGTGGGTGCATGGCACGAGGTGGGTGCATGGCACGAGGTGGGTGCATGGCACGAGGTGGGTGCATGGCACGAGGTGGGTGCATGGCACGAGGTGGGTGCATGGCACGAGGTGGGTGCATGGCACGAGGTGGGTGCATGGCACGAGGTGGGTGCATGGCACGAGGTGGGTGCATGGCACGAGGTGGGTGCATGGCACGAGGTGGGTGCATGGCACGAGGTGGGTGCATGGCACGAGGTGGGTGCATGGCACGAGGTGGGTGCATGGCACGAGGTGGGTGCATGGCACGAGGTGGGTGCATGGCACGAGGTGGGTGCATGGCACGAGGTGGGTGCATGGCACGAGGTGGGTGCATGGCACGAGGTGGGTGCATGGCACGAGGTGGGTGCATGGCACGAGGTGGGTGCATGGCACGAGGTGGGTGCATGGCACGAGGTGGGTGCATGGCACGAGGTGGGGGCATGGCACGAGGTGGGTGCATGGCACGAGGTGGGTGCATGGCACGAGGTGGGTGCATGGCACGAGGTGGGTGCATGGCACGAGGTGGGTGCATGGCACGAGGTGGGTGCATGGCACGAGGTGGGTGCAATGGCACGAGGTGGGTGCATGGCACGAGGTGGGTGCATGGCACGAGGTGGGTGCATGGCACGAGGTGGTGCATGGCACGAGGTGGGTGCATGGCACGAGGTGGGTGCATGGCACGAGGTGGGTGCATGGCACGAGGTGGGTGCATGGCACGAGGTGGGTGCATGCACGAGGTGGGTGGCATGGCACGAGGTGGGTGCATGGCCACGAGGTGGGTGCATGGCACGAGGTGGGTGCATGGCACGAGGTGGGTGCATGGCACGAGGTGGGTGCACTGGCACGAGGTGGGTGCATGGCACGAGGTGGGTGCATGGCACGAGGTGGGTGCATGGCACGAGGTGGGTGCATGGCACGAGGTGGGTGCATGGCACGAGGTGGGTGCATGGCACGAGGTGGGTGCATGGCACGAGGTGGGTGCATGGCACGAGGTGGGTGCATGGCACGAGGTGGGTGCATGGCACGAGGTGGGTGCATGGCACGAGGTGGGTGCATGGCACGAGGTGGGTGCATGGCACGAGGTGGGTGCATGGCACGAGGTGGGTGCATGGCACGAGGTGGGTGCATGGCACGAGGTGGGTGCATGGCACGAGGTGGGTGCATGGCACGAGGTGGGTGCATGGCACGAGGTGGGTGCATGGCACGAGGTGGGTGCATGGCACGAGGTGGGTGCATGGCACGAGGTGGGTGCATGGCACGAGGTGGGTGCATGGCACGAGGTGGGTGCATGGCACGAGGTGGGTGCATGGCACGAGGTGGGTGCATGGCACGAGGTGGGTGCATGGCACGAGGTGGGTGCATGGCACGAGGTGGGTGCATGGCACGAGGTGGGTGCATGGCACGAGGTGGGTGCATGGCACGAGGTGGGTGCATGGCACGAGGTGGGTGCATGGCACGAGGTGGGGGCATGGCACGAGGTGGGTGCATGGCACGAGGTGGGTGCATGGCACGAGGTGGGTGCATGGCACGAGGTGGGTGCATGGCACGAGGTGGGTGCATGGCACGAGGTGGGGTGCATGGCACGAGGTGGGTGCATGGCACGAGGTGGGTGCATGGCACGAGGTGGGTACATGGCACGAGGTGGGTGCATGGCACGAGGTGGGTGCATGGCACGAGGTGGGTGCATGGCACGAGGTGGGTGCATGGCACGAGGTGGGTGCATGGCACGAGGTGGGTGCATGGCACGAGGTGGGTGCATGGCACGAGGTGGGTGCATGGCACGAGGTGGGTGCACGGCACGAGGTGGGTGCATGGCACGAGGTGGGTGCATGGCACGAGGTGGGTGCAGGTGGGTGCATGCACGAGGTGGGTGCATGGCACGAGGTGGGTGCATGGCACGAGGTGGGTGCATGGCACGAGGTGGGTGCATGGCACGAGGTGGGTGCATGGCACGAGGTGGGTGCATGGCACGAGGTGGGTGCATGGCACGAGGTGGGTGCATGGCACGAGGTGGGTGCATGGCACGAGGTGGGGGCATGGCACGAGGTGGGTGCATGGCACGAGGTGGGTGCATGGCACGAGGTGGGTGCATGGCACGAGGTGGGTGCATGGCACGAGGTGGGTGCATGGCACGAGGTGGGTGCACGGCACGAGGTGGGTGCATGGCACGAGGTGGGTGCATGGCACGAGGTGGGTGCATGGCACGAGGTGGGTGCATGGCCGAGGTGGGTGCATGGCACGAGGTGGGTGCATGGCACGAGGTGGGTGCATGGCACGAGGTGGGTGCATGGCACGAGGTGGGTGCATGGCACGAGGTGGGTGCATGGCACGAGGTGGGTGCATGGCACGAGGTGGGTGCATGGCACGAGGCGAGGTGGGTGCATGCACGAGGTGGGTGCATGGCACGAGGTGGGTGCATGGCACGAGGTGGGTGCAATGGCACGAGGGTGGGTGCATGGCACGAGGTGGGTGCATGGCACGAGGTGGGTGCATGGCACGAGGTGGGTGCATGGCACGAGGTGGGTGCATGCACGAGGTGGGTGCATGGCACGAGGTGGGTGCATGGCACGAGGTGGGTGCAATGGCACGAGGTGGGTGCATGGCACGAGGTGGGTGCATGGCACGAGGTGGGTGCATGGCACGAGGTGGGTGCATGGCACGAGGTGGGTGCATGGCACGAGGTGGGTGCATGGACTGGTGGGTGATGGCACGAGGTGGGTGCATGGCACTAGGTGGGTGCATGGCACGAGGTGGGTGGCAATGGCACGAGGTGGGTGCATGGCACGAGGTGGGTGCATGGCACGAGGTGGGTGCATGGCACGAGGTGGGTGCATGGCACGAGGTGGGTGCATGGCACGAGGTGGGTGCATGGCACGAGGTGGGTGCATGGCACGAGGTGGGTGCATGGCACGAGGTGGGTGCACGGCACGAGGTGGGTGCATGGCACGAGGGTGGGTGCATGGCACGAGGTGGGTGCATGGCACGAGGTGGGTGCATGGCACGAGGTGGGTGCATGGCACGAGGTGGGTGCATGGCACGAGGTGGGTGCATGGCACGAGGTGGGTGCATGGCACGAGGTGGGTGCATGGCACGAGTGGGTGCATGGCACGAGGTGGTGCATGGCACGAGGTGGGTGCATGGCACGAGGTGGGTGCATGGCACGAGGTGGGTGCATGGCACGAGGTGGGTGCATGGCACGAGGTGGGTGCATGGCACGAGGTGGGTGCATGGCACGAGGTGGGTGCACGGCACGAGGTGGGTGCATGGCACGAGGTGGGTGCATGGCACGAGGTGGGTGCATGGCACGAGGTGGGTGCATGGCACGAGGTGGGGCATGGCACGAGGTGGGTGCATGGCACGAGGTGGGTGCATGGCACGAGGTGGGTGCATGGCACGAGGTGGGTGCATGGCACGAGGTGGGTGCATGGCACGAGGTGGGTGCATGGCACGAGGTGGGTGCACGGCACGAGGTGGGTGCATGGCACGAGGTGGGTGCATGGCACGAGGTGGGTGCATGGCACGAGGTGGGTGCATGGCACGAGGTGGGTGCATGGCACGAGGTGGGTGCACGGCACGAGGTGGGTGCATGGCACGAGGTGGGTGCATGGCACGAGGTGGGTGCATGGCACGAGGTGGGTGCATGGCACGAGGTGGGTGCATGGCACGAGGTGGGTGCACGGCACGAGGTGGGTGCATGGCACGAGGTGGGTGCATGGCACGAGGTGGGTGCATGGCACGAGGTGGGTGCATGGCACGAGGTGGGTGCATGGCACGAGGTGGGTGCATGGCACGAGGTGGGTGCACGGCACGAGGTGGGTGCATGGCACGAGGTGGGTGCATGGCACGAGGTGGGTGCATGGCACGAGGTGGGTGCATGGCACGAGGTGGGTGCATGGCACGAGGTGGGTGCACGGCACGAGGTGGGTGCATGGCACGAGGTGGGTGCATGGCACGAGGTGGGTGCATGGCACGAGGTGGGTGCATGGCACGAGGTGGGTGCATGGCACGAGGTGGGTGCACGGCACGAGGTGGGTGCATGGCACGAGGTGGGTGCATGGCACGAGGTGGGTGCATGGCACGAGGTGGGTGCATGGCACGAGGTGGGTGCACTGGCACGAGGTGGGTGCATGGCACGAGGTGGGTGCATGGCACGAGGTGGGTGCATGGCACGAGGTGGGTGCATGGCACGAGGTGGGTGCATGGCACGAGGTGGGTGCATGGCACGAGGTGGGTGCATGGCACGAGGTGGGTGCATGGCACGAGGTGGGTGCATGGCACGAGGTGGGTGCATGGCACGAGGTGGGTGCATGGCACGTCCCAGAGACGTGGAGAAGGCCTTATCACAAGCAGGGTTTCGTATTGTATCCGGTAATTGTTTGTTGTCGCATGAACGCAAGTGTATATACGCTGCACGCTATAGGGTTTGAACGTATATTTCAACTTGAAGGTAACCAACCAAAAGCCAAGAATTGTTTTTACACTTTTCCATGGTGTCAGAGGGGGCACAACAGAAAGGTCATATTGAAGAGAGGTGGCGAGGTGTGGAGTGACAGAGCATCGAAGGAGGAGAGAGGAGAGGAAGGGGCGATTGATGGCAGGGGGGGATGAGTGAGGGGAGGGGGATGCGAGTGAGGGGATGGGGAGATGAGTGAGGGGAGGGGGGAATGAGTGAGTGAGGGAATGGGGAGATGAGTGTGTGAGGGGAAGGGGAGATGAGTGAGGGGAGGGGGAGATGAGTGAGAGGAGGGGGAGATGAGTGAGGGGGGGGGGGGGTCGGCTGTGGGGCGGTTGTCCTCTTAAATGCGTCCTCTCCACCCCGCCACTCCAGAGTACTGCTGTTCTGTTCGCATCAGACAGTGCATTCAAGCAGCTCTCTCCCGCACTCCTTGCGACAGCAGTGCCCCCTTGCTTCTCACAGGTGCCTCCTTGCTCTCACTCCTTTCTATCATGTCTCACAGGTGCTACTGTTCGCATTAGACAGTGCATTCAAGGAGCTCTCGCCCGCGCTTTTTGCAGCAGCCAAGCAGTTCAAAGGCCAGGTGCGTGCTGTGCCTCATTGGTCTTTAAATCAAAGGAGGACGGTGCAAGGAGTGCATGCCAGGAGCTCTCGCCTGCACGCCTCACATCCCCCTCCCACGCTCGTGCCTCCCATGAGATGGGGCATCAGTCGGTTGGCGGCAAAGACACACCCACTGCAGCATGGCGTTCCTTGTTCTCTTGTCGCTCCGGATGCTTGCATGCATATGCATGAGCATACATTTCCCTCAACATTTCACAGACCTGTACTTACTGCTGAAGGTTCCTGTGAATCAACCCTAGTAAACGCAGCCCCTCATTATGATCAGGGTTACAATACATACTGGCTATTCAAAACGCAGGTGACTTTTGAGTCGACTCAAAAGTCCCTCATTATGATCAGGGTTACAATACATACTGGCTATTCAAAACGCAGGTGACTTTTGAGTCGACTCAAAAGTCCCTCATTATGATCAGGGTTACAATACATACTGGCTATTCAAAACGCAGGTGACTTTTGAGTCGACTCAAAAGTCCCTCATTATGATCAGGGTTACAATACATACTCGCTATTCAAAACGCAGGTGACTTTTGAGTCGACTCAAAAGTCCCTCATTATGATTAGGGTTACAATACATACTGGCTATTCAAAACGCACAAGCACTCACCTAACCAGGCTCACTTTTCCATCTTACACGTGCTTTCCTACTAAAGCGACTGGAATGGAGTAAGGCTTCCGCAGCTCACCTGGCCATTGTCGACAAAAGTCGCAGCATGGCGTTCCTTGTTGACTGTCTCTCGTGACGCTCGCATTGCATGCATGAGCACGCATTGCATGCATGAGCTCGCATTGCATGCATGAGCTCGCATTGCATGCATGAGCTCGCATTGCATGCATGAGCTAGCATTGCATGCATGCGCACGCATTGCATGCATGAGCACGCATGTCCCCCCCCACAACTGCCATGCTATCGCCCATCAATCCATTCCGTCCCACCTTCCCGTCTCGCCGCCTTGCTGTCATTCCACCCACCCCTTTTTTCCTTGTGCCACAGGCCATGTTTGTGTTTGTGAACGCCTCTGACCCCGAGTCACAACCCGTGCAAGAGTACTTTGGAGCAGACGCCTCCACCACTGCCGTGAGTGTTTTGAATACACCCCCCTCCACTGTGGTGAGCGCATGACTGCTGTGCTGTTCTCTCTGTGCTGTTCTCTCTGTGCTGTTCTCTCTGTGCTGTTCTCTCTGTGCTGTTCTCTCTGTGCTGTTCTCTCTGTGCTGTTCTCTCTGTGCTGTTCTCTCTGTGCTGTTCTCTCTGTGCTGCTCTCTCTGTGCTGTTCTCTCTGTGCTGCTCTCTCTGTGCTGTTCTCTCTGTGCTGTTCTCTCTGTGCTGCTCTCTCTGTGCTGTTCTCTCTGTGCTGTTCTCTCTGTGCTGCTCTCTCTACGCGTTCTCTCTACGCTGTTCTCTCTGCGCTGGTCTCTCTGCGCTGTTCTCTCTGCGCTGTTCTCTCTACGCTGCTCTCTCTGCGCTGCTCTCTCTGTGCTGCTCTCACCGTGAAAGAGTGTTTTGGAGCAGACGCCTCCACCACTTCCATGAGTACATGGCTGCTGCGCTGCCCTCTGTGCTGCTGCTGCATGCCGCAATGAGCTCCATGTGCTGTCATGTGCTGTCATGTGCTGTCATGTGCTGCCATGTGTCACTCGCTTCCATTCCACATGCTCACATCACTTGCCTTATGAGTGCATGTCTGCCCGTGTGTGTGCATGGCTGCCAATGTGGTGTGTGTGCATGCCTGCCCGTGTGTGTGCATGCCTGCCCGTTCGTGTGCATGCCTGCCTGTGTGTGTGTTCAGTTTATGGGGTTCACCATGGGAGGAGGTGAGGACCCCTCAGTGCCAGCAGCAGGGCTCAAATACCGCATGACTGACCACCCCACAGCAGATAACATCAAGGTGAGTGCGCTTGCATTGCATCTGCTCTTGCCTCTGCAAATCATGCTGCTGCCGCTGTGTTTGGTGTCGTTCATTTCTCAATCCTCGACAAGGCAATCTCATGCCCCCAATGGTATCAGATCTGGTCCTGTGTAGCAATACGGAATGAACTAACTCCTTTCTGTGTAGCAATACGGAATGAACTAACTCCTTTCTGTGTAGCAATACGGAATGAACTAACTCCTTTCTGTGTAGCAATAGGACTTTCTCCTCATTCCCTCTCCTCTCCCTGTCTCTCTCCTTCTCTTCTCCCTGCTTGCTCCCCTCCTCGCAGGCCTTCACGCAGAGCTTCATTGACGGCCGTCTCAAGCCCTTCTTCAAGTCACAGCCCGTCCCGGAGGAGGTCAGAACTTTGTGAACAGTGAGTTTGTCAGCTTTTGAGGCGCCTCAAAAGTCAGCAACTTGTGAGCTTGTCAATATCGAGGCTGACGTTGAGAACCGATCTTTCTTTCTCTCAGCCGCCAAGCTGCTTAAGACAATCTCTCATGCTCTGGGGTCTTGGGGAAAATGGATTGCATCTCATACCAGTTAGAGATCGTATCCCTCTGGGTCTTTAAAAATCCTTTCAACATACACCCTAACTCCTTCACTGTTCATACAGTTTGCGAGGTCTCCAATCTTACCCTCTTTCTGGCGGGGGATGCTGGCGGGGGATGCTGGCGGGGCATGCTGGCGGGGGATGCTGGCGGGGGGATGCTGGCGGGGGGATGCTGGCGGGGGGATGCTGGCTGCCTACTCACGTCTCCTTTTCCACCCCTCACCCGCCATCCCCCCTCCATCCCACACCTGCCTCCTACCCTACCGCTCCTCATGCACCGCGGTGGCAGAACGAGGGGCCAGTGGCGGTGGTGGTGGGGGACTCGTTTGACCCTTTCTTTGCCTCTCCTCCTCAGCTTCCCACCTTTAAACCCCTCTCCCTCCTCCCGCCTTTCCACCCTTCATGCGCGGCGGTGGCAGAATGAGGGGCCAGTGGCGGTGGTGGTGGGGGACTCGTTTGAGCGCATTGTGCTGGACGACACGAGAGACGTGCTGCTGGAGGTGCGCTAATGGGCAAGGTGGGTGGACCAAGGGGAAGGCAGCTGTTGTGGTCGTGGTGCGGGGGGCGGGAGGGGAGGGAAGACTCGTTTGAGCGCTTTGTGCTGGACGACACCAGAGACGTGCTGCTGAAGGTGCGCGTGAGGAGAGTGGGTGTGGGGGTGCGTGAGAGGGGTAGGGTGAGAGGGTGTTGAGAGTATGTGGACATTGAATGGGATCACCGGAATAAGGAGGAAGTAGTAATGGTGGTGGTGGGGGACTCGTTTGAGCGCATTGTGCTGGACGATACCAGAGACGTGCTGCTGGAGGTGCATTTGGGCGGGGCATGGTGGGTGAGAGGGGCGGTTAGAGAGGAGTGGGGTGAGAGGGGCATGCACGGATTTTGTACTCGATATCCTGAAGTATTGTTTAATTATGATGACTGAGCACTCTTTAGCTCCTCGCCCCTCTTGAGAATTCTCAAAAGTGTCTTGAGAATTCTAAACAGTCATGAGCATTGAACACTCTTTAGCTGTCTGCAGATTTCGAGCAACTGTTGCATGGCTCTGCACGTGTAACTCCACACCCCACACCTTCCTCACCTGTCCCACCGTTTCTGTCTTTCCTGCTGTGCCGCTTCCCACTCTTTTCCCACTCTCTTCGACTCCCCTCGTTATATCATATTCCGTCTCGTCCCTCCCCCCTCACTCGCCCCTCTCTCCCCACTCGCCCCTCTCTCCCCACTCGCCCCTCCCCCACACTTGCCCCTCTCCCCGCTCGCCCCTCCCCTCTCACTCGTCCTTCCTGCCTCACTCGCCCCCCCTCCTCACTCGCCCCTCTCCCCCCTCACCCTCTTCTTCCCCTACTCGTCCCGCTTGTCTTAATCGCCCAGCTCACCCCACTCACTCCAATTGCCCCTCTTTCCCCCCACTCACCCCTCTTTCCCCACTCACCCCTCTTTCCCCACTCACCCCTCTCTCCCCACTCACCCCTCTTTCCCCACTCACCCCTCTCTCCCCACTCGCCACTCTTCCCACACTCGCCCCTCTCCCCCCATCTGTCCCGCTTGTCCCACTCGACCCTCTCTCCAAATCCGCCAGGTGTATGCTCCCTGGTGCGGCCACTGCCAGCAGCTCGAGCCCACGTACAAGAGGCTGGCAGAGCGGTTCAGTGCGGTGCAGTCAGTGGTTATTGCCAAGATGGATGGCACTGCTAACGAGTACCCCGGCCTAGAGGCACGCCCTCCCCTCCTCCTCCTCCCTCCCCTCCTCCCTCCCCTCCTCCCTCCCCTCCTCCCTCCCCTCCTCCCTCCCCTCCTCCCTCCCCTCCTCCCTCCCCTCCTCCCTTCCCTCCTCCCTCCCCTCCTCCCTCCCCTCCTCCCTCCCCTCCTCCCTCCCCTCCTCCCTCCCCTCCTCCCTCCCCTCCTCCCTCCCCTCCTCCCTCCCCTCCTCCCTCCCCTCCTCCCTCCCCTCCTCCCTCCCCTCCTCCCTCCCCTCCTCCCTCCCCTCCTCCCTCCCCTCCTCCCTCCCCTCCTCCCTCCCCTCCTCCCCTCCTCCCTCCCTGTGGTGCTCCCTCCTCTCCTCCTCTGCTCCCTCCCCTCCTCCCTTCCCTCCTCCCTCCCCTCCTCCCTCCCTTCCTCTCGTGCTCCCTCCCCTCCTTTTCTGCTCCCTCCCCTCCTCCCCTGCCCCCTCCCCTCCTCTTCTTCTCCCTTCCTTCCTCTCGTGTTCCCTCCCCTCCTCTCGTGCTCCTTCCCCTCCTCTCATGCTCCTTCCCTCCTCTCATGCTCCTTCCCCTCCTCTCATGCTCCCTCCCCTCCTCTCGTACTCCCCCCTACTTCCCCCATCCTCATGCCCTCCACTCGACTTCTCTTGTCCCATCCCTTGCTCACCCAAGTGGTTTCTTTCCTTTCCTATAGTTGTGTCCTAGAGCCTTTTTCAGTGTCAGTACGAACCTGATAGAACCCGATAGAACCCAATAGAACCTGCACGTGACCTCCACGCCTCTGTTTCTGTGCCTCTCTTCTTCTGTGTCCCTCTGCCTCTCTGTCCCTCTGCCTCTCTGTCCCTCTGCCTCTCTATCCCTCTCCCTCGCTCTCCCACTCGCTGTGGGTCGTTCTGCAGGTGGAGGGATTCCCCACCATCGTCTTCTACCCCGCGGGGAAAAAGACAGACCCGGTGAGACCAGCCCTCCATAGTTGGGGGGAAGGGTAGCGGGCTAGAAGAGCTCTGGTGGGACTTTTGTTCATTCGCAAGAATAAGAAGAGGGAGGGGGTGCAAGGGAAGGGATTCCCCACCATCGTCTTCTACCCCGTGGGGAAAAAGACAGACCCGGTGAGACCAGCCCTACATGGCCTTTGCCTGCCCGTGCTGCCTGCTGTGCTGCTTGCATCACAGGCTGCCATGTTGTGGGGTGGACAGCGGCCACCATCATGCTTTCAAATACTGCCATTGCAACGCCTTAGCTTGCATGTGTGGAGTGCATGTGTGGAGTGCATGTGTGGAGTGCATGTGTGGAGTGCATGTGTGGAGTGCATGTGTGGAGTGCATGTGTGGAGTGCATGTGTGGAGCGCATGTGTGGAGCGCATGTGTGGAGTGCATGTGTGGAGTGCATGTGTGGAGTGCATGTGTGGAGTGCATGTGTGGAGTGCATGTGTGGAGTGCATGTGTGGAGTGCATCTGTGGAGTGCATGTGTGGAGTTGGAGGCATGTGTGGAGTGCATGTGTGGAGTGCATGTGTGGAGTGCATGTGTGGAGTGCATGTGTGGAGTGCATGTGTGGAGTGCATGTGTGGAGTGCATGTGTGGAGTGCATGTGTGGAGTGCATGTGTGGAGTGCATGTGTGGAGTGCATGTGTGGAGTGCATGTGTGGAGCGCATGTGTGGAGTGCATGTGTGGAGTGCATGTGTGGAGTGCATGTGTGGAGTGCATGTGTGGAGTGCATGTGTGGAGCGCATGTGCACACATGGCAAGTGTTGTACAGCATGGAAGAGACTAGAGAGGTTGTGCGGTCGTGTCTGTTCATGTCTCTGAACAGTGCATACTTGTTTGTGGCTGTGTGGGCTCATGCTGTGTGTGCACCTGCAATACCAACAGGCGAAGGTGGCTGCAGGTACGCTGAACGAGTTCATTCAAACCATCAACGACCATGCCACCACTGAGCTTGATGAAGCCGGTGTGCCCTCTCATGTCTCTCCCGTGTGTGTGCGCGCACCTCATGTGCCTGTCTCCCATGACCAACAGGTGAAGGTGGCTGCACGCACCCTCAAGGAGTTCATCCAAGCCATCAAGGACCACGCCTCCACTGAATTCCACCTGGAGCCCTCGCCTCTGGACGACCAGGAGGAGGAAGAGAGTGAGGATGGGGAGATGGAGGAGATGGAGGGGGGGGTAGGGGAAGGGGGGATGGAGGGGGAAATGGGGGAGGATGGGATGGAGGGGGCAGAGGAGGATATGGCGTATGATGGGATGGAGGGGGATGGTGAGGAGGAGGACGATGCGTTTGATAAGTTGTTTCACCACGACGAGTTGTAGTACGGAGTGGCAGACAAAAGTGCTGCTCGCAATGACTCGTTCCGATTCACTAACATTGGTTGCTGTCCTGCAGACATCAATCATACTCCTGCATACATTGTGCAGAGAGGGGTATCGCCGTGTCAGCTCGATCAAGCTATAGAAAAGCTAATGATGAACCGTGGGCGGCAACACAGGCCTTTTAGTATGCGGACATGAGTGTTGGCAAATCCCCACCACAAGATCCAACGCACTGAATCTACACCATCCACGCCAAAGTAATGGATTGCACCTTGATGCCAGCAAAAGCTGACCACTATCCAAACTCATGGCTAAGTCAACCCCTCAAGGCTAAGCGATGCTTCGTGGTGAAAACAAAACCCAGAGCACGTGTGAATGTGGAGCAGCAACTGCCTGCATCTGCATGCCTGCCTCCCCGCAGCAAGTCCGCACTGTGGTTCCAGTAACCACCACAGCGCTGAGCATGGCCTTCGGCAGCAGCTCAAGAGCTTCAAAGCGAGCAGAGCCTATATGACAAACGAGTGCAGCAGCAGCTGGAGCCATATAGCAGCACTTGAGCAGCCCTCGCTTCCAAACAAGAGTCAAGCGCCAACCCTCTCCCTACTCTACCAATTGCCCCCCAATCCAGCCGCCACAGCCTAGTGCGCAGGGAGCCACTGACCTGCTTACCACCACCACCTCACACAACCTCTCCTATCTTCTGCCACGCCTCGCCCTTCGCCACTCTCCCTCTCCTCCACACCACCCCTCCGTTACACCCTCAGGGAGAGCCACAGACCTGCGCGCCACTCCACACCCTCTCCTATCTGCTCTCACGCCTTGTCCTTCGCCACTCTCCCTCTCCTCCACGCCATCCCTCCACCTCCGTTGCCCATCTCGGCCCCTTCTGTGTGCCTGCCACCCTGCCAGTCGTCACGTCACGCCTTTATTGCTCCCTCAGTTGCTCAACTACCCAAGCAGCGCCACATTCATGCCCTCTTGCCTCATTCTGTCTCATTCTCACGAAAAGCAAAACTCAATCTGCACATTCTCGCCGTCCCATCCCCGTGTCCCCCAACCGCCTACCCTCTCGTCCCATAGCCTTCTCCTCTTCTGTCCCACAGCTTCCTTCCTCTGTCTTCCTTTCAACCCTCAAAGCTTACTCTTCACCACCACCCGACCACCCCCCACACTCCTCTTCGCCTTCTCCCTCTCAGCATCGCGCCCCATCTTCACATACAGCCGCACCATCTCATCCATACTCACCCCTATCTCCCCCTCCACCCTCTCCCTATGACACACTATCACCCCCTCCTCCCTACACCCCGCATCCCTCGGACCCGCGTCATACTCGGGAATGGGCAGCAGCGGCGTCATGTCTATAAGCGTCTCCGCTATAAGCCCCGACTGGTTAACGAATATAGGCGTGCCGCGCGGAATCACTATGTCCTCGTCGAGAATCTCCACCACCACGTCCACGCTCGTCAGGCTCGGCCGGACCGCCACCACCGAGCCTACGGCGATGCCTCGCATGCGCACGGGCGTGCCCACGAGGATGCCGCACGCCTTGGGAAACCTCACCACCGCTGTGTACCGCGCTGGCGCCACTCCCCCCCGTCTGCCGCCCTGCACTTCGTAATACTGACGCCTCTGAGGTGCCTTCTGCTGCTGCTGCTGCTGTTTCAACTGGCCCTGCTGCTGTTGTTGCTGCTCTTGAATCCCTTGCTCTTTTTGCTGCACTGATCTACTCAGTACTACCTCCCCAGCCTCGGCCCGAGCCTCCGGCGCAGCTCTGGCATCCGAACCGGGCTTGCTATCCTTAGTGTCCACCGCGACTGAGGCTAGCCTACTCGGTTTGGGGTCAGCTGCGGTTATCACAGCAGCGTGGGCGGGAGGCGGGAGCAGAAGCGATCTGAGTGAGACACGTGGCAGCACGCCAGTGGAGCGGAGGGCAGTCGCGAGCCAAATGGCCGTCGCTGTCGCCACCGCCGCGCCCGCCGCTTTTAACGGAGCTGAGGGGGACGATAAAGACGAGAATGTAGCCAGAAGCTGTTGAGATTTCCTCGGTTTATGCTCCTCCTGCGAGGAACTCAATAACGAGGACGGCTCTTGGCCGCTGTGTGGGTCGCTTTGCGCGCTGCAAGTCGTTCCATGTCGCCGCTGCAGTCGCGTTTCACGGCTCCCGCCACGAAATATCGCAGCGTCTACATCGCCAGGATCGCATAGGCGACGAGAAGTTCGCGACGTACGGTCCACGCGGGATGCCCCGTGGCGACAGCCGCGCGGGAGCGACGAGCCGAAGCGCGTCGAGAACGAGGAACGCTGAGAAGCTGCTCGCGGGGTGAAATGTCGTTGGCTAAGAGAAGGCAACGCGGCGACGACTGGCGGCGAGGCTGAAGCGCAGGGCCAAGAAACGGTCGAGCGGCGGTGGGGAAAGAATTGCTGTGGCGGAGACGAAAATGCAGGCGATGCTCTTACTGAGGGAGAACGAGGAGTTTGAGAGGGAAGGATCTGCGGCGATAGTGTGGTAAAGGGAAGCGGGGAACGCGCTACGGGTACAGCAGCCATAGTGTGAGCGCTGAGAAGTTGGAGTGTGGTGTTGTGGGAAGGTATGAAGATAAAACGACTGAATGGGAGGAAGGGTGAGGAAGAAGTGCAAGAAATGGCAGCCAAGAAAGGCGGAGAACGCGGAGAGTAGCTTCGTACACTAACAAATGGGGTGTATATACAGCAAATTGTTATGACTGCGCGGGTTTCACAAACGGGCTGAACTACACTCAGGGCAGAGGAGAATTTGTACTGAAGAGCCCTGAATGGAAGAATAAAGATTCTAGAAATAGCCAGAGCCGAGCTGGGTGTGGACGTCGGGGTAACCGAGGCTAGGGGAGGTGACGGTTGGTGCGGTGGCGCCTCGGGAGTAGTTCGGGGCGAAATTGTGTCCGAACCAACTAACGCAGAAACTTCGGAACATCCTCGTTAAGGAAATCTACACAAATTAATTTATTTACTTCTGGCTAGGCTGGCGGAGATGATAAGCTGCAGTCGAATTTGATCATTTTACTTTGGGAGTAAAATATGGCGCTGCTAATATGAATATATGTGTAAAAACTGTTTTTAAATCTCTATAAGAAACTAAAATATGTAAGCTTCTTTTTTCAGGACGTGGTACACAATACAATTCATACATCCACAGTCTTAACTGATGATGTAGGCTCCTCATTCAGCATGATACTACCTCATAACGCATCTTCCCATATCGAGACGAGCAGCAACCTCACCAGGTTCACTGCATTTGGCGGAGGGAGTCTGTGTGCCTCCAGCAATCTTGGATCGTCTCCTTGAGGCAAAAGCACAGCATTTTCCTCCCCTCCCTCCTCCCTTCTCCACCCGCTCGCCTTCGGAATAATAAACTCACCATCGTGCCATTCATGGATCTATTATTACGACAACGGTTTCGACCGCACTTCTCTCCATTCTTTTCGCCGACACACACGTGACGGCGCTCTTTGAGCAGCAGCTGGCACGCTCTTGCATCCTGACTTTCGCAAGCAGCGAGCCAGCCGCATAGCAGCGAGCGCCGCCAGCTTCACCCGAGCAGCTGCCTCCGTTCCGCTGCGACGCCTCGTCGCATCCATGGCGGAATTCACCACCGTGCCGCCCCGCGAGGCCAAGGCGCTCCTCGAGACCTCCTACACCTTCCTCGACGTCAGGTCGCTTCTCCCGCCCTTTCCGCCCTTTCGGGCTCCGTTCGTTCCGCCGCGCCCCCATCGTAGTCCGCGGCGCGCCCTCCCCACCTTCTGCGATCTCTCTCGATTCCGTCATACCGACTTGTTAGAAATGGGTTGGCGATGAGGGACGCAATCTCTGATTGTGCTGGTTACCAGTCACGCGGCGCGCGCCGTCTCATTCAAACGAGCCCCTTCGACTGTCACCCCTCCGCTCACTTCGCTTTATTTCTGCCATTTTGATTCCGAGTCTCGTTCGTTCCGCTGCTTAGGTCGAAATTGCACTTTCGTTCGCAAATCCCACACACCTGTCGCAAATCCCACACGCCTGATGCAAATCCCACACACCTGAGGCAATTCCCACACACCCGACGATCGAGATTGTACTTTCAATCTCAATCCATTCCTGACTTCCCGCCGTTCCACTTTGGTGACATGGCAGGACGGAGGAGGAATTTGCCAAGAGCCACGTGGAAGGTGCTGTGAACGTCGCAGTGATGACTGGCGATCCCCATAAAGGTGATGTGGACGCTGCGTGCACACATGCGGACATGCACACATGCGTACATGCACACATTCATACATGCACACATGCATACCTACACACATGCGTACATGCATACACGCATACATACACACATGCGTACATGCACACATTCATACATGCACACATGCATACATGCACACATGCATACATACACACATGCGTACATGCATACGCGCATACATACACACATGCGTACATGCATACACGCATACATACACACATGCGTACATGCATACACGCATACATGCATACATACACACATGCGTACATGCATACACGCATACATACACACACGCGTACATGCATACACGCATACATACACACATACATACGTGCAAAAATGCACGCTTGCTCACATGCACATGTTCTCACATGCACACTTGCTCACATGCACACTTGCTCACATGCACACTTGCTCACATGCACACTTGCTCACATGCACACTTGCTCACATGCACACTTGCTCACATGCACACTTGCTCACATGCACACTTTCTCACATGCACACTTTCTCACATGCACACTTTCTCACATGCACACTTTCTCACATGCACACTTTGTCACATGCACACTTGCATACGTGTACACATGCGTACATGCACCCATGCGCGCACTCGCGCGCACACATGCGCACACGTTCACACGCGCACATGAATACATGCATACATGCACACACACGCACACACACACACGCGCGCGTGCGTGCGTGCGTGTACACATGCACACATGCGCACATGCTTACGTTTATG